TGCAGTTTGTGATCATATCCTAGACGGCCCCCGTCATTACATTAGATTTGATAAACCACAAGTCCTCGCGAAAGAACATCGATTCCTGCCAAGGATGATACGTGAGGCTATTGAAATTAAAAAACATCCTAATTTCAATAGAGAGGGAGGCTGGGTACTACCACCTGCTTGGGATCCTGTAATTCATAAAATTAAAACTAAACCCAAGCATACCACTGTAAGACTTCAAGACACAGTTAGTTCATTCTGCGTAGATCGGACCAAAATTAATAATTAAAAAGCTGAAGGTACTCCGGGTTAACTTTGACATCGGGACGTCAATCACCTCAGTCCCCCGTGACCACGGTTGCTGGAAAGCAACCGAAACGTCGGGAATATAAAATAAGTAAATTAAACGCGATAAAATCCGTAAAAATAGTTTTATTCAATCTTTGTCGCGAAGTAAAATTATCAAAATTCGTTTCAATTATTATTGAGGAAACTCCCGATGTTACTCACAGAGAGCAAGTGTGTCTAATTCTCCGATATTATTACGGAAACGATATTCATGACCGTTTTTTGGGGTATGTAGATGTGTCTGAAAATCGCACAGCAGACACACTTTGTAATATCATATTGGAATTATTAAACAAACATGACTGCCCCACAAAACTAGTTGCGCAAAGCTATGACGGTGCAAGTGTCATGTCCGGTCTCGGAAATGGAGTGCAACAAAAAGTTAAAGATGTTTGTCCCTAAGCCTAGCCTAGCCTAGCCTAGCAAGTATATTTGGTGTAATGCACACGTTTTGGCATTAGTTTTATCTAAATCTTGTAACAGGATCGGTGAAGTCAGAACTTCTTTTTCACACAAAAACTCCAAAACACAAAAAACTAGAGCGATAGGTTCGTGCACTTACTTCCGCAGCTAATTCGAAGTGAAATATAACACAGTAAGTACATACGCACGGCATGCGTACGAGCGCTGCACCAAGTGCATTTCCCGCGCAAATAAATTGGCGGCCGGCAGACGGAGCCTGACAAAATACTTGACATGGCGCAATTGCTATGTTTTGTTTCGTTTGCGCCTCGTCAGTCACATATGCCTGATATTTTTTTTTTTCACTTTATTTTACATTATAATCACCGGAAACAAATTAAAATAGTGATATAATGTGATTTACTTCAATATACAACCAAAAAAACAAAAACCGTCATCAAAATTTTACTATGGCAGTTAACGTGTTAACTCAGAACTAGCGCATGCGCAGCCAGTCGCCAGTCGCCACTCGCCAGTGGCAGCTCTCACTGTGTACATGCGGTATACGCGCAAGGTGATTGCCACGAAATAATAGTAAAAAAATTATGTTCAAGATTACGTAATCTCTTTTTCTAGTAAGCTTGGGTCATTTAATAATTATACTGATGATTTATGTACATTTAAAACCGGACGCAAAACCTATACTTTTCAAAGCTAGACCTGTACCATATGCCTTAAAGGAAAAAATAAATAGATAGATCGTTGGTTGGCGTTAGGCATTTTAAAACCCTGCTTCACCAATAGTGCCGGTATTGAAAAAGGACGATAGGATCTGTTTGTGTGCCGATTATTCGGTTACTATTAACAAACAGTTAATAGTAGACCAGTATCCTTTACCCATAGTAAGCGATTTATTGGCAAAATTAGACGATGGCGTACAGTTTAGTAAAATTGATTTATTTATGACCTACAATCAGTCCGTGTTAAGCGATAAATCACAGATAATCACGTGTATAAATAGTGCGGCGATATTTTATTCGGTTGGTCTTTGGTCTAGTATCTGCTCCATCAGTCTTTCAGCGTGCGATGCAGTGTTTGCCCGCTGGGATTGAAGGAATAATATTTTTGCTTTAAGATATTGTTGCGCGCCAATATTAATGTCTTGTACGAGGGCGGCACTGAAAATTTCGGGAATCAAGGATGTGACACAACATTACTATTTAAAAATGTATTTATTGCTTTTCGAAGTATTCTCCGTGAAATTTGACACATTTTTCCATACGATGGAACCAATCATTGAAGCAACCCTTCCATTCGGAAGTTGGGGTCTCCAAAATGGCCGTTTTGTAGGCGTTCACAGCTTCTTCAGGTGATGAAAATCTCTGTCCACGCAATTTATTCTTTATTTTACGGAAAGTATAGAAATCATTAGGGCTTAGGTCGGGGCTGTACGGCGGATGGTCTAATAATTCTATGTTTTCTTTCTCTAAAAACTCTTTTGTTCTGTGTGCGGTGTGAGAACTCGCATTGTCGTGATGGAGGATGATGCGGCGATTGCAGTTCTCTTTACGGAGTTCAGAAACGACCTGTGGCAAAGAAATGCTAGCATACCATTCTGCATTAACCGTTCTTTGTCCCTCAAGAGGAATAGTCGTAACAAGGCCGGTTTTGGAGACAAACGTGGCCACCATTTTTTTTGCAACACTCTGTGGACGAACAATTTTTAATGGCTTTAACTCATTTTCGAACACCCAAACTCGTGACTGGTTTTTTGTTTCGGGTTCGTACGCGTATATCCAGGATTCGTCACCTGATACGATGTTGTATACAGCATTTGAGGATCCTGCGTGGAATCTTTCGAGAGTTCTGACGCAACAAGTAACGCGAGCCGCTTTTTGCTCTTCACAGAGCGAATGCGGTATCCATCGGGAAAACAACTTTTTTACACCTAGTTGTTCATGCAAGATTATTTGTATTTGACTCATGCCAATGTCTAAAGTTGCCTGAATTTCGCGGTATGTCACATGTCGATCTTCCTCAATCAGCTTACGCACAGCATTAACGTTTTCTTGGGTGACTGCAGTTTTTGGACGACCTTGACGGGGATCATCACTGAGCTTGACACGTCCACGTTGAAATTCAACAAACCAGCAATAAATTGTGGTTTTGGATTGGACTTCATCACCAAATGCAGAAATCATCCGGTCAACACACTGTTTTTGTGTTAAACAACTTCGACAGTCATAATAAATCATCGCTCTTGAATTTTCTCGAGTCAATTCCATTTTCTCAACGACTAAACAAGTTTGATAAAACCTTGTGGCAAGACCGAGAATCTTTTTTAAAATAAATAAATGGTATTAGATTTTTAAAACCAAGGAGTTTTCAATTAAAAAGATTTTAATATGACAGGAACAGTGGAAATATTCTATTCCCGATACTTTTAGTGCAGCTCTCGTACATGGCAACACTAGTTACCACTAGCGCCCTCTAGTATCGAGTAGCAGAACTAGGAGTCAAGATTCTTCTAGAAATTTCGGAACCGATATGTACTCGAACATACTAGATGTTTCTAGAGTAGAGGGTTCTGGAAACTATCTGAGGCCCTATATAAGGTCGGCATTATAGCCCTCGACCGAGTCAGTATTGAATTGGCGATATAAGCGAATACTTCAAAGCGATACAACTACGAACTAAAGTGATCAGTAGTACAATTGTGTTTTATTATTAGTGTGGTTTAAGTTGTAATTAGTGCTCTGTAATTAAAGTGTCAATTTTGCAGTTTTTAATTGTCTCCAACCCCAAGCTCGTAACAATATCCTAATTACAGGCAAAAGCAAAGTCCAACATGAACAAAGGCTTATGGCCGTTTTACAGCGTTTAGACGACACAAGATTGACTGTTCAAATGAATAAATGTGAATTTTTAAAGAAGAGGTTTCTTATCTCAGTCACGTGATAAACAAAACTGAGGTTATAAAACCGCCAGAGAAGGTAAAAGCCATACCCGAAGCGCCTAAGCTGAGGAATGTGTCACAATTGCGGGCTGAATCTGAATAATAAGCTAAGAAATTTTGTGATAAGCGAATAATTTAAAATTAAAAATTTTGTACAGCCGTTTTCAATATAAGTTATTAAGAATAACTCAAAAACTATTGGCTTGACCTTGATCAAATTCATATGGGACCACACGAGAACTACCAGCTTTCAAGTAAAAAGAATTATCGAAATCGGTCCACCCAGTAAAAAGTTATGAGGTTACACATTAAAAAAAAATACAGTCGAATTGAGTACCGTCTCCTTTTTGGAAGTCGGCAGAAAATGTGGTTTGCAAGATGATGTTGTGACCAGGATTAAGAAAGGATTACTTCAATGAATTGGTTATGTAGAAAGAATGAATGAGGAAACTGACAACGCAGATTTATATTGCAGAAGTGAATGGCAGTCTGCAAGGGATGTCCTAGACAAAAGTTTATTTACCAAATTGGCGATATATTGAAGATGGGCCAGATTAAGAGTACCCTTAATCGACGAGCATGTGTGCGTAGGTATATGTACATATGTAAAGGAGACGAGAGAGGTGTGTGAGGATCGTACCAAACGGAAATCCGTAGTCTCTGCCTACTGCTATGGGTGTCAGGGGTTTATATATGTATATTATGTAATAAATAATGTTCTCCAGGCCAAATTTCGATCACGGGGTCCAGTCTCAACGGATACTAGCCATCTGCTCAGAACAGGATTATATTGCCGGAGTACATGCGTAAGCACAGGTGCTCTCTCTATTCCCTTACTCTTATAGTCCTGTGGGACGGTTATTCGGCACAACCGGAGATCAGGTGCGGGACTAATGGCTTTACATGCTTACCGAGACACAGGGGTGAAACACTGTCAATTTTTTGACTCCGGGATGCTATTAAGTTTCTTACAGAAAAACCAAATATCTAATTTTGGTTCGATCCGGTATTCGAACTCGGGACCTCATGATTAAGAATCGCGTTTACGGCCACTAGAGCAACGAGGTAATCCATACCAATTTATAGATATTACATCTATATACGAATTGTATCGCCCACTACTAGTGGGCTAATAGGGCCGCCCCCACCATATGGAGTGACGACCTGGACGAAGACATGCAAGAAGTCAACAGATGCATGTGGCTCAGGACCGTGCTTTGTGGCATTCCTTGGGGGAGGCCTATGACCAGCAGTGGACTTGTGAAGGGTTGTAATGATAATGATGAATGATGACTATTAGTCGCACCCGCCATTCAATTCCAGGCGCTGCGCCGACCACACGGTGACGTTCTCCAGGCTCGCCGACATCGGCACTGCGTCCAGCGGCGCCACGAATACAACATCCCGCAGAGATACAACACCACGAAGATCTGGAGCCTGGTGCAGTCGAGGTTCTCGCACGACCACGTGCACCAGCTCCTGCAGCCTGGCGAGCGCAGGCGCCGGCAAGCTCACGTTGCAGGCGGAGATGCTGAGCCGGCGCAGCCCCAGCGGCATCTCCATGACGTCGCTGTCGGTGAGCGAGACGCGCTCCAGCCGCAAGTCGAGCAGCGCGGACAGAGACCCGAGCGTGCCGCGCTCGAGCTGTACCGGTTCCGAACCGCGGATGAAGAGGGCGGACACGTTGAGAGCGGCGAAATGATGCGGCTGTGAACAGTAGAGAGTGACAAAATATTATTTATACTGCAAAGAATTCTATGTATACTACCAGATGGGCTCTGCAGCCTTAATATATTGCACACTAAGTTACAGCTATTTCTCCGTAACTCTTTAGTCGACTGCGATTGGATGAGAAGACTAGTTCTTTGTTTTGTAAACCACGAACGTTGTTTTTGACAATCTAGCACTAAATTTATGTAGAAAAAAATACAACTGCGTGGCATATTATCGTATCAGCTATATATAGCGATTGTGGAAAGTCAATTTAGCTAGCCTTACTAGAATCCCCAACCCTAGTATTAGTGTAAATTATGTGTAATTATTATTTATCTAAATTATTTCATTTTAGATATTTTGAGATTTAAAAAAAATAAAAATGTCAAATTATTGAATAATCGACTATTTTAAACAAGCACAGTGTTACTCGTAATCTTTAAATATTACTTACATAAATTTTGTCTCTTTCTATTGTCATTTAGTAAATGCAATTGCAATTTTTATTCTCAAAAATAACCATCATTACATACTTTGACGCCTTACTAATAAAAGCAATGTCAATTTAAGAAGTGCAAATTAAAAGAGAAAAAAACAGAACAGCGGGAGAACTGAAACCTTCAGAAACGAACACAGATAATATGAAACACTTTACACTGTTTCTGTCTCATTCTCACGCAGGCTAAATCCTAAAGATGTATATGTTTGTCTCTTTTCAGCATCGCCTTTTCTTTTCATCGAGTTTCAAGTAACAACAATTCTAAAGAAGTTTTCAGTTCAATAATAACGAATTTAGGTGATAGGGCCACGCTGCAGCTATATTATGGTTATAGCACAAATCGGTCAGCTCGACTGGAAAAGGCCAACACTCTCACAGACTACCAGCATAAAACAGCAGCTCAATGCTACTGTGTTTTGTATGGTGAGTGTAAAGAACAGGACACACTTCTTACTGGAAGCTAGACATTCCATCTTAGTCTTGGCAGACAGCGCATCTGCATTTTGATTCTTAATTGAGGATAGGAGTAGATGTCTATGGGCCACAGCATACACTTACTATCAGGAGGAGTGTGAGCTCGTTTGTCAACATTATTCTATAAAAAAAAAGAATTCCATTACGTACTTGTAAGGTACCGCGCGGACGCGCCAGCACGAGCAGGTCGAGCGCGGTGACATTCAGACGAGACAGCGCTTGCGCGTACGAGCCGGCGGGCGGCGCGCACTCGGTCAGTTCCACACGCTCCACTCGCACCATACGGTCGAACCGTGGTAAGGAAGCACTTTCTAGTGTTACGTTCTCCGTACAAATCACACTCAAGTATTTTTCTGCGTAAACTATTTTAAATTTCTGGTCTGTAACATATAAAATAGTTTACAAAATAAAATCTATGAATGAGATTAATATATCTTCTTTCTTCTTTTATAAGTGAAATACCACTGACTCACTTACTCATCACGAGATCTCCAAAACTATACGCTCAATTGACTTGAAATTAGACATCCACTAAGAAAGGATTTTGGATCATTCAACCCCTAAGTGGGGTGAAATAGGGTGTTATTCCTTGTTTTATATGTGTCCTTTCAAGTCAAATATAAATTATTTTATATATATACAACATATAAATATGGCATATGTGACGGCTCTGTGGCCGAGAGGCTTAGCTGCTTAGTTATGGCGCTGATGGCCGCAGTTTCTAATCTCCCACGGAACAAGTATACTTTGTATGGCTTGCAAATAATTGTTCCAGGTATGGTATGTTTATCCTTGTGCATTTTATGTATGTAAACTGCCACCATGAGAAAACAGGAGTAATCACTACAGGAGAAAATCCTAATGGGTTTTTACAAAAAAAAAAAGAATATAAATAATTTTATTTCAATTAAAACCATAATTAGTATAATTAGATCTTTGTGTTAGGCTAAATATACAAACTTTCCCAGAACTTTTCACCTCTAATCAAGACATTATTATTCTGTGATGGTGGAAGTGATAAATGAAAGAAACTTGATAGGTAATATTATTTCGAAATGAATAATTTATTTTTATGACTGGGGCCAGTGGTCAGTGTACCCAGTTAAGCCATTGCTGATATATTACCTTGCAAAGAATACATTTAGAAATTAATTCAAGTCTAGCAATTTTTAAATGATTTCTCTGCTATCAGATGATGAGCTTTATGTGATAATTTCTCAAAGGCAACCATACCTTAGCTTCAATTTAATTACCATTACCATAACCTTGCAGCCTAACAAAATTCCACTGCAAGCAAACAAAACTAAGCAGACAGATTAATATGGAGGCACTGCTCTACACCTTCTGGTTTTATTTGCTATGTTGCCTCTCTCCTCCACAACACCAATGGGACAAGATGGGGTAGTGGATATTCTTACAGCACCACTATACACTATTGAAACCAAACTTGTTGCTTTCAGATGAACCAAATTCTTTCCTTGAAATAACAATGTACAATTGTATTGTATTTATAAACATAGAAAACATTGTTTTTTGTAAAACAGTCGCTTATTGGTCTCTTATTTCACTTGGTGGTAACTGGCGATTAAGTACAAGATGATAAATCATACAATCTTAGGGTGACAAAAGCCTCTTAACTCTTGGTTTGGAGACATCCAGATTGTAATAGGATGAAAAGACATACTGGCAAATTGTGCCACTCTTTTGCTGTATGCATTATGAAAGATAAAGATTACTAGTAAAATGTAACTAAGGGCTGGAGAACCACAAAGCATTTGGTTATCCAATGGTGGAAAGGAGAAATTAAAGTGTGAATCCTGCTCACAATCTCTGCAATGTATCCTACAGAATTGAAAGACTGGCTACTTTGCAAATTGTTCTCAAGGCTAAAAAGTTTATACTTTCATCAAATACTTTGATGAATTAATAAACATCAACATCAATAAAAAATAAATAAACAAAATTGAAGCTTATGTCTGTAATATAGAAATAAATACTTCCTTTAAGCTCAAAAACCCTGCTATTAACCATTTTTAAATTTTTTGTATCTGTCTGCCCTTGCTAATCCACAAAATGGTTGAACCAATTGTAATGAAACTTAACAAACCGATAAAGAGCAATGCCAAAAGTGATCTATGCTATATTTTGTCTAAATAACTTGGGAGGTTTTTTTGAGAAATCAAAAAATGAATGAAATAAACGGTCTTTAATGATTTTCTGCCGACTTCCAAAAAGGAGCCGGTACTCAATTCGACTGTATGTTTTTTTTTTTCGTTTTTTTTTTTTATGTGTGTTACCTCAGAACTTTTTTCTGGGTGAACCGATTTCGATGATTCTTTTTTTATTTGAAAGCTGGTACTTCTCGTGTGGTCCCATATGAATTTGATCAAGGTCAGACCAATAGTTTTTAAGTTATTCTTAAATAACTTATATTGAAGTCGGCTGTACAAAATTTTTAAAATAAACCCTTTTGAAATTACCTTTTGCATGCAGACCATAGGCAAATAATTAAATTAGTTTCTAACATAATGTTTAATCTTTGTGTATAATAAATATAACCGTGAAAGAATCATACATTAAGTACATATAATACTATAATTCAAATATACTTAATAATGAATCTGTGATGCCTCTTTTCATCAATTATATCATTTGATGATAACATTAAATCAAAATTATATAATAAGTAGGTATCTTAAACATAACAAAGAGCTCCCACATCAGCTAGATAAATGAATATTTTTATTTTATTTTACACTAGCATCTTCCTGAAAACAACTCCAAATAATAAAAATTGTGGTTGTGAAGCCGACTTCCAAGTGTAGCAACGATGGCAAAATCCCCCCTATGAGCCCTGCTATGGAGGAGTTTCATGTCCAGTAGTGGATGTTTATAGGCTGCAATAGGATGTTTTAGCAACTGCAACAGTCAGACAGTCCAATGTACATTATATATAAAATGTTATGACCATTTACTATCTTGACGTCCCCAATATCTTAGGAGTTATACGTAGAGGTGTCTACTACACTGTAGTAGAGATATAATTGTAAGAGAACTTACATACATACATATAATCACGCCTCTTTCCCGTAGGGGTAGGCAGAGACCAGTTCTTTCCACTTGCTACGATCCTTACATACTTGTTTTGCTTCGTCCACTTTCATTATTCCCTTCATACAGAACTTAATGTAAAAATTACCTTCAACATAGTAAAAATGTTCGTCAATAACTGAAGCATCGTAACGACATCGTGCAGGAGAAGGTGGACACAGGGGTGTCACTGTCATCCATGGAACAGTCCCATGCATTGCATATAATAAACACAACATAAACAAATAGTATTTCGCCATATCGTTCTTGACTATTCATACTATAATCATATTTCCGAAAAAAAAATTCTATTTAGCATTACTACGAGCGTAAGTAGAATAGAGAATCCAGCTTGAGGTAGATTTCAAAAAACGCAAGACATTTTACATAATTTACCTACATTTCCATTTAAGCATATAAACAAAATTCGCCTAAGCAATGAGTAAGCTTCATTATAGAAAATAAAAAATTTATAAAATTTCAAAAACAATAAGTAGGTAAATGTAAGCAAAACTTTTGTTTATTATCACAAACTATATAGAAACACTACGCGTTGTTTATTATTCTGATCATATACTCTCTACCTCTCTAGAGTAAAAATATGACTTTGATCTGATTTTGACGTCTGTGATCAGAGTTGCCACCTCAAAAATTATCTTGTCATGCACTAGATCCAGAGTAAAATGTCGCCAAATTTTGGAAATTTGGATTGAAAAAAATAACACCAGTTCCCGCTATTTTTTTTAATTAAAATTAAGTACTTTTTATGAATTACATGTATGAAATTAAAAAACCGGCCAAGTGCGAGTTGGACTAGCGCACCGAGGGTTCCGAACAAATCCGTTGGTATATATGTTTAAAATTATTAAAATATTTTTATTATATGATGTAACTATAAATTTATGCTTTTCGCAAGTTTTCCTTTAGCTGTGCTATAATACGTTGCTTCGTAGCAAATTTTAAGATTCTGAGTTCACGGGAAGTACCCGGTAGGTTTTGATTCCTTTGCGAATGTCGAAAATTTGCGGCATAAACGGCCGTATCTTTTGATTGCCTTGGCTTGATTTTTTCACAGCTCCAAGGGTCAGTAGAGTTGAGTATTTGATATGAATTTCAACTTGATACCTCCACGCGTTCCTGAGAAAAAGGGTCTTGACAGACAGATAGACGGACAACAAAGTGATCCTATAAGGGTTCCGTTTTTTCCTTTTGAGGTACGGGATCCTAAAAAAGAGGTTATTGTCGGATATCAGTTGATTCGTCAATGATGAGACTGAATCTCTGCTCTCCTATATCCTTGACTAGTTCTTCGATAAAAAGTGGAGCTAAGACATTTTTAATCAACTTTTTTACGTGGTAGAGCCATGCTGCAGCTATATAAGTAGTATGGTTGTAGCACGAATGGGTCGGCTCGACCGGGGAAGGACCACGCTCTCACAGAATACCAGCGTAAAATAACAGCTTAATGCTGCTGTGTTTCGTATGGTGAGTGTAGAGAACCGGAGACCCTTTTTACTGGAAAAGAGGCATTCCATCTTAGTCCTCACGAGTGGCAACGCATCTGCGTTTTGATTCGCAAACGAGGATAGATGTAGATGTCTATGGGCCACAGCAACCACTTACCATCAGGTGGACTGTGTACTCGTTTGTCACCCTATCCTATAAAAAAAAACTTCTGTACACTTGGTACGATGCATTTTTAAGAAGAGATTTTTTTGACATTTTTGAGAATCTGAGAAAGCACATTTAACTACCTCAGTTAAATGATCAATGTTCGAAACTGAACTGTATTCTGTGATGTAAAGAGCTAGCTTTCCTTCAGCTTTAAGGGCCTTTAGTTTGGAGGACTTTTCGGCTGATGCGAATGTTATTGTTTTATTTCCGGATATTGTAATTTTTGCTAATGCTTTTTCGTTTCTGCATGTTTTTTTTAAGTCTCCTAATTTCGCTAATAATTCAGATTTACGAAGTGACCAAAAAGGTTTCAGTTCGTCACCAGGTAAAGGTTTAAGCCAGCTTTTGAATTCATCATGCTCCTTCCACTCTTTTTTATACTTTTGCGTATAATTTTTCTTCTTGGCCGGCAGTTCCATTCTTCCTTCTTCTTCCAGTTCCTTTCATATTCTATTAATACTATTCTTACTCCCACGATGCACAGTCGTCCCGTTTTGGCGTTTCATACTAATAGAATTTTTCACCGACTCGTTCTTTCATATGTTGGATCAAATCGGGTTTGAATATTTGATTGAAAAAATAAGTCATTAATTTTTGTACGTTTTATTATTCCCTCGGTACACCGATAAATACTTGATGTTAAAAGAGCCTTCCAAATAAGAATCTAAAAATAAAATTAGGAAAACAGATACTTTGATTTTTCGAAAATCCTACTTGTATGAAATACCAAAACGGGAGCACTTTGCGAACGTACCATACGATGGAAACACTTTTAATTAATTTCTTTACTGTTCTTACACTAAGCACGTGCAATTTCCTACCCACTTTAATCGAAAAGAATGATAAAACATTAACGTCAATAACTATAAAATAACAGCGTGTGTAGGGTTACCAGATGAAAAAATTAAAAGTCCGGAGAAGAGGCCTGATTTCCATTTAAAAATCCTGAGATTGTTTTACAGTTTGAGAAGAAAACCTTACTTAAAAAGGTATCTTAACATATTAAGTATGATAAAACTGTTTTAGTACCTACTTGGACAAATAAGTTTTGATTTTAATTGTGGAATTATTACCAAAGGAAAAGCTTAGCTTAGCTTTCCATTGACGTCAGTCGAGTTTGGTGTTGATACGTATTTTCACAGAAAAGTTACACTATTATAAGCACACACACAAAGTTTCAACATGCGGAAACACGTAATTTTGGAGAAAAGAATTATTGAAAATCAATTATTCTTGCAATGTTTATGTCTAATCCTACGATAAAACTGGCGCCATTTTGTAATGTCATTGTCGACGTCAATAGGGATGTCGATTCTTTCCGAAAAAGGTCGATTTTTAAATCGATTCAAATCGTAAGCTGATGTATCGGTTCACAAAAAATCGATTTCTAAAATATCTATATTTTTTTAAATGTTTCTATTTATAATGTAAATATAAATCCATTTTATGAAAAACAAGAAAGATACCATGATAAATTATCTCTTATTGAAATTTGTTTTATTTAACAGTACCTATTAGGGCAGATAACAAATAAAATAGGTTAGGTTCAACTTATGTCAAACAACCGAATTGATTGACCCCGACTCCACCTGGTACGAGTCTGTCCTACCCCTAGAGTGGTTTTATAGAGCCGGAGGTACGTAGGGGAGCAGCCTCCGCCTGCTACGCTAAGACGTAGAGGCTGATCTTCCCGCAGCGCCGGAGACGTAGCAGTCTCAAAATAGATACAGAAATTCTTCTGAATCAGTCCCCTTATTTTCTTATGATGAAGGGGATTTTTTTCTCATAAAATGGATTTATATTTACATTATAAATGCAAACATGAAAAAAATATCGATATTTTAGAAATCGATTTTTTGGGAATCGATACATCAGCTTACAATTCGAATCTATTTAAAAAATCGGTCTTTTTCGGAAAGAATCGATATCCCTACTACTGACAATAATAATAAAAATGGCGTCAGTTTCACGGTAGGAATTGACTAAATATTGCAAAATTATTTGATTTACAATATTTTTTTCTCAATAAGTACGTGTTTCCGCATATTGAAACTTTGTGTGTGTGCTTATAAAAATGTAATCTTTCTGTAAAAATCGTATCAACACCAAACTCGACTGACGTCAATGGGAAGTCGTACCAAATTATTTTTAGTTTGTTTAACTTTTTATTACTTAAGAGATCTTTTAAAATGTAAGCTGTATTATATTGAAAGTTCTAAAAATCCTGAGATTTCATGAGATTAGCAAAATCCAGCCGCAATCCTGAGAAGAGTCTAAAAATCCTGGAATCTCAGGACAAATCCTGAGATATGGTAACCCTAAGAGTGTGGGATTCCCCGACCATACACTAAGTCCAGAAAGAGAACGATTTCCGTCTCAAATTAGTGTTGCCAAATTCCAAATTGAAAAATCGCTAAAAAAATAAATAGTCGCTAAACGATGAAAAAATATCGCTAAGAGCTTTGAAAAATCACCAGATCTAGTGACAAAATCACCAAAGTGGCAACACTGTATGTGACGGCTGACGGTGTCGGTTTGACGTTTGACGTTTGCACCAATGATTTTTTTTTGGAGTTTATGGCCTGGTATCTAGACCTTTAGGCCAAGTCTTGAGTATTTTTATTCGGTTCATTATAATTTCCCTAATGTATAACTATCCTTCATAGTTCACTGCTTCACAATATGTTAATGCATCACATTGTGCAGCCCTTGGGAGATTTTGACGGCAACTTGAGCCAGCAGACAGCTGACAGTTGGCGACGGTATCTAAAGGCGCCTATGCAGACAAACAGCTTATCTTGAGAATCCATCACCATCAGAGCACTTGTTGCACCGTTTCCACTAATAGTTCACATACGTAGACAGTTAATACATAAAATCGCACCACTTTTACATATCAAAATCCACTTCAAACTATTATTTAAACTATAATACAAGCAATACGCCGCCGGTCAAGTTCCCGCCAAAACTCTGCACCAATCATAATTCTTATAGCAGTGTAGCCAGAAAGTTGATTTCTTAAATTTTAGGTAACTTTTTATTAACCCATGTATCTTTTTGTAAAAATTAAAATATTCAATATAATTGTAACTGCGAGTTTCTTTTCTTCTTTTTCTTCTCATACCTTGTGAGACCTACAGTCGAGACTTGTTGAATCGATGGCGTAAATTTTTTGACTTTTAAAAAGAGCTTTGTAACAAATTATTAGAACTTTGTAAAGCCCAACTTGCTTAAAGGTTCATGTGTACTACTATTGTTTATAAAATGCAGCGTTTAATAAAGCTTAATTTAAAAATCGGTAAAACCATAATATTATGTTTAATAACAATTCAAGGTAAATCAAATAAAAGTTATCAATTGGTAAATTTTAGATTACAAATGTATTTTTTCAGAAATGACAAAATAACTTCTTGTAGATAGTTCAAGTCATACGCATACGTAAATTATTTATTTTCAGCATTGTATTAAAGGTGTTAAAATTATTAAGCTTAGATCCGCGTAAAAAATTTATAAAAATGATGCATCTTACCTGGTTTGATGAGCACCTTCCCCCTCCCTCAATTGATTCTCGTCACCACTTATCTCA